TGTCCTTAGGGGAGAAACCTAGTACAATCTCATCTTGATATGTCATGCTTCCTGTTATCCATGGGAGGCATGCCCCTTTTTGAATAGAAGCAGAGGAGAGGTGGAATGGGGGAGAAAAGGGAGGTGAGTGGAGAGAGTGGGAGAAGAGGAGGAAAAAAAAGCTGTAGTCTGGATGTAAAATAAATGACTAAATTTGACTAATTTAAGTGATATAAGGCATCTCCTTCATGTTGTTTTCTCAATAAATATTTTTCTGTTGGCAATATTGATAGTCCAATCTAACAGAATTAGTAAACTGGTAATTTCTGTTACTTAACAAAATTTATAAGAAACCTAATAGTAAATGTGATACTTTTGACACATAGGGAAAATAGGGGGTAAATGGTCCATGAAGCTTCTGGTATTCCTGACAATATCCATGCAGTCTTTAAAGCAATATATGGGTTTGTTTGTGTTTCAGTACACAACCAGTTAAGAAAGGGGCATTGGTATGTGGTACCTGCCTTGTAGCTGAGAGACAAACCAAAATATAGATGGGAGAACTTGGTTTTATGATTTTGTACTTTATAGTCTACAGAATTATTAAGAATAAATGTGTTTCTGTATTGTCCTCACTAAAGCATTTTATTGTGTAAACATAAATATTCTGACCCATGCTAATTAATTCTGCAAGATAATAAAAATGTCTTGTCAATGAATGATAAATGTAAAAACAGATTTTCAAAATTGTACATAAAATATTTTGATATTAAAACTTAAATGTAAAATATTAACTTTCTGTCTACCTCAAAAAATAAGGGTAATTTGATGAGAAATTTTTATTGCATTAATATAACATGTCCTTGAAATACCGAGATATATTAAACTTAATGATTCATTTCTTTGGTACCAGACATGGATCGGTGTGTGAAGTGCCCTGATGATCAGTACGCCAACAATGGAAGAAATCACTGTCTCAAAAAAGTTACGACATTCCTGAGTTATGAAGACCCTTTGGGAATGTCTCTAGCCTGCTTGGCCCTGTGCTTCTCTGTTCTCACACTTATTGTACTTGCTGTCTTCTTGAAGCACAGGGACACTCCCACAGTCAAGGCCAATAACCGGACTCTCAGCTGTGTTCTACTCATCTCCCTCATCTTTTGCTTTCTCTGTTCCTTGCTTTACATTGGCCAACCCAATATGATCATATGCCTCATGCAACAGACCATATTTGCAGTAGTGTTCACTGTGGCTGCTTCTACTGTGTTGGCCAAGACAATTACAGTAGTACTGGCCTTCAAGGTTACAACTCCAGGTAGAAGGATGAGGAGGGTGCTGGTATCAGGAGCACCTAACTTCATCATTCCAATTTGTACCATGATCCAACTGATTCTATGTGGGATCTGGCTGGGAACTTCTCCTCCATTTGTTGATGTTGACATAAATGTTGAAAAAGACCATATTTTGATTATCTGTAACAAAGGTTCAATTATTATCTTCTATTGTGTTCTGGGATACTTGGGCTTCATTGCCATGGGAAGTTTCACTGTAGCTTTCTTGGCCAGGAATCTGCCAGACACATTCAATGAAGCCAAGTACCTGACATTCAGCATGCTGGTGTTCTGTAGTGTCTGGATTACATTCCTCCCTGTCTACCATAGCACTAAAGGCAAAGCTATGGTGGCTGTGGAGGTATTCTGTATCTTAGCCTCTAGTGCAGGACTGTTTTTTTGCATCTTTGTTCCAAAATGCTTCATTATTTTGTTAAGACCTAAGAGAAACTATTTTCAAAACTTCAGGAATACAAATTTTAAAATTAAAAATGATCTTTAATTTTTTCTGTCATCTCTATTATAATAAACTTCCCACCAAGACTACACTGACACTTTTATCCTAAAACTTTAACTCAAAAGGTACATTTTGTCTCATTAGTAAATATTGAAAATAAACTACACATTAGACTTTTAAAATTGGACAATACATTCTGATCTGACATTTCTGTATCTGTAAGGCTGGTTTCCTTCTTTATGGCCTCCTTTGTAGTTGAACTGAGTAATAGTAATGCATTTATATATTAACAGTTAACTTAATTATTCCAGTATAAATTATACATAAAGGTTTTATTCCATACTAAATCACTCCAATGGGAGTGTATAAAAGCATGTATTTAAATGAAGATTCCCCTTAATTTGTTATGGGATAAAGAGAAATTTACATACAGTTAATTAATTGTTTTGAGGACCAAATATTTTGTATTTACATGACATATATGCATCCATATATGACAAAAACAATAAAAAATAAGAGACTCTCAAGGTGAAAAATTAGGTCTTGAGAAGAGTGACAGGGACTAGAAGCAGGAAACGGAGGAGGTAATTTTTGTCACTAAAATATAATTTTAAGTAAATGAAAATTTTCTTCTTTTCTTCATTTCTATATTATGATGCCCTTGACATACTAGGTATACCTATGCACATGAACACACATTCACACACACACACACACACACACACACACACACACACCAGACAAAACATGTTATTCTCTAACCTATAAATTCTCTTAGGTTTCAAAAATCACTCTTCCATAACAACCTGAGCACTAAAGAAGAGTCACTTTGTTTTACTATCCATAATAATTATAAATGAAATTCAGAAGTGATGAGAAAACAGAGGTTGTATTCCTTACCTTGTGGTGATTTTTATGATGTGATGTAGAACCTTACATTATTCTGTAAATTTTTAAATACTTTTTATTGTTATTTTTTAACTTTTATTGAAAATAGGTTCATTTTTTATTCAGTTTATCCTGATTATAATTTCTTCTTAATCTATTCTTCCTGGTTTCTTGCTATCTATGCCCCGCTCCAGAACCACTCCTCTTCTGTCTCTCATTAAAAAACATAGATTTCCAAGAGATAAAAACTAAATATAAAAAAATGCATTGTGGCCGGGCATTGGTGGCACATGTCTTTAATCCCAGCACTTGGAAGGCAGAAGCAGGTGGATCTCTGTGAGTTCAAGCCCAGCCTGGTCTCCAGAGCAAGTGCCTGGATAGGCTCCAAAGCTACACAGAGAAACCCTGTCTCACAAAAAAAATGCATTGCAAGGTGAAGAAAAATTATCACAATAAAGTTGGACAAAACAACCTAATATCAGGAAAAGAATCCTAACAGCACACATAAGTGTGAAAGACCCATTTATTCCTACAATATGTCCTGCCTGTAATATATGCTGGGCAATTGTTGCGGGAAGTTGTGGAAATAACAAACCAATCATGTCTGATTTGACCAAGGCCCAATGCAACAAGGTGGAACCCACACCCATAACTGAATGGATAACCAAGAACCTGAGGTTAGATACCCAAGATACCTGTTGTAAAACCAAACACTAGTAAGAAAAATAAACAATAAAATGATTCCTACAGATAATCTGCTATCCTCAGAAATCAGTGTCTGATTCACTCATCATCAGAAATTCTTCCTCTATCAGCAGATGGGCAAATATGCAATGACCCTTTAGACATTTTGTGAAGAGAAAGTATAAATTGGAGATCTAGATCAAGTCCTAACCCTCAGACCTCAAGAAATATCACACCGGAGGTGGTAGAAAGATTCTAAGAGCCAGATGATTTGGAGGATATCAGGAGAAAAATGTCCTCCTAATCAAATAAGCAAGGTGTATATGAATACAGATAGATTGAAGCAGCAAGTATGGGGTCTATATGCATGTGCACCATGTCATTGTTGTGTATATTACAGCTATTACATTGGGACTTTCTCTCAAATCTTTTATCTGAGAGTAGATGTATATAAAACTTGATATAGTAAAAATGATGACATAGTACTAATTTGTTTCATATTTATTTTGAAAACTGGTAGTATTCCAATGTTCCACTGACTGTTCCTAAACCAATTCACATAATAGCATCAATAAATGAAAACTGATGGTTATCAAAAATCGAAGTAATCAATTTGAAATGAGGGTATACAAAAAGTAATGGGAGGTGTACGGCAAAATATATAATATGTTTAATTCTTGCCATTGTCTAAATATTCTACCCAGAAAGAGAATGGGTATGTTGGTAGAACCAAAAGGGAATAAGCAAAATGATAATTATCAATCATGAGTTAAAAGAGGGGAAAAGATATGAGCTGTTTCGTGCACTTGTATGAAGTTCACTTCAAAGAAACTCATTGAATCAGAATAGAAAGTCAGCATGGAAAATTTTTCCATGATGGGATCAAATGCAAATTTGATTCCTTTCATGTACATAATTACACCAGTCTCAGGGAAAACCCTGTGGTATATAGGAGCCTTTATTTCTCACATCCCTAATAGCCTTCATAGGAAGAAGGCCTATTCTTTGTCTTTTCATATTCTAGGAAGTGTCAGATATATTTATCATTTTTTAGGAATTAACTTAACATGACTTTTACATCAGTTTATACTTTACCTCCACTCTAAAATCTAGAAATTTTGCTTCCATTGGACACTCACTTTGAAGTTTGAACCTTGCCACAGAAGATTTACACACTTACTGGTATGTTTTGAATAAGAATAATGATCATAGAAAATCAACACTCATTTTGAGGCTGGATGGATTGATATCCTTAGACAAAACATGATGCCTTCTACATAAGAGTTCTAGTATTTCATGAAATGTGCAGGAAATTGACAATCTCTATAGCCATGATGTGAGTTTGCTATGTAGTTCTATTAGCCTCCACATTTTCTCTTAAACCAAGATCTCAGGTTTCTTATTAAAATACTTTAACATTTTGTCTAATAACGTGGTTAAAGGAGTGTGTTGTTCCTAGCTTACTGTTTGAAATCCTACTCTAATAACAGAAGGATGGTCCTATGAAATTGACAGACAAAATTACTAGGTCTTCCACAATATCTGTGTTCTCCAGTATGTTTCTACATTCTTCCAGTTTGTTGAGACTAAAGGACAGTACAATTCTCAAAGATTCTTCTTTTATTTCCCATAATTTGTCTAGTCAATGTCTCTGGTGACAATGTTACACTTTCCTTCTACTACACTTTTTATCATATAATCCTAGCTCATGTTTCCTCCAACCTTTCTTTACCATGCCCTCATACTGCCAGCTACACTCTTTCTCAGAATCTAAAATGAATCCTGACCTGGTGAAATATGGAAACATTTAATGTGGGGTTTCACAGACTAGATACATAATAGAAATTCTGCAAGTCTGTACATCTATTGGATATTATCTTGCAAAGTAGATTGAAAGATCTTGTTTAGGCACACAGAACTGAACTAGAAAACAAAGGTCATTGTAGTGGTTAACATTGATTATCAACTTGATATGGCTAACATACATATAACAAAACTCAGATAATATCTACCAGGGATTACACTAGATACATTGAATTATGTTGGATTGAATGATGTACTTGGAATCCTTCATTGGCTGGGTTCCTGGACTGAATACAAAAGAGAGCATGAGTTAAACAACAGCATTCTTATTTGTTGGTTTCCTGCACAAACATTGGTTAAACCAACTGACACAAGATCATGTCACATGACTTCCCAACCAAGACAGACTAGGTTAATTCTTTTATAGATTATTAAAATAGAACAATGTTTACTTCTGCTATTGTACCAAACTTAGTTCATGTGATGTGGGCTTAACTTGCTATGATTGAATGTCATTTTTTCAAAAACTCTAATTGTTTAAAGCTTTGGTCCTTAAGTTAATCATGTGGAAATGGGCATAACATGAAAAGATAAAACCTAGTGAATTGGGAACATGGAACTCACTGCTCACTCAGGATTTATTTCTCTCTGTCTGTCTGTTATATTATTGTCACTTGGATGACCTTGTTGCCAAGGTTGTGTAATTGTGTCACATGAACCACATAAATATATGATAACTGAAATTTCATACTTGAAGAGTTCAGTAATTTAAAACTATTTTCTATATCCATCCTACATTTGAGGGACATCTTGTTTGTTTCTAAGTTCTGGCTATTATGACTACAGCTGCTATGAACTTAGTTGAGCAAGTGTACTTATGGTATAACTGAGCGTCCTTTGGTTATTTGAATAAGAATGGTATAGCTGAGTCTTGAGGTAGATCAATTCCCAGTTTGCTGAGAAAAAAATATTGATTTCCAAAATGGCTCTATTAGTTTGCTCTCCCACCAGCAGTTGAGGAGTGTTCCCCTTGCTCTGCATCCTCTCCAGCATGACCTGTCATCAGTGATTTTGCTCTTAGCCATTCTGACAGGTGTAAGATAGATTCAAAATGTTGTTTGATATACATTTCCCTGGTGGCTAAGGATGTTGAATATTTCTTTAAGAGTTTCTAAGCCATTTGAAATTCTTCTTTTGACAATTATCTGGTTAGATATGGACTCCATTTTAATAGGATTATTTGTTTTTTGTTATCTAGTTTCTTTTGTTATTTATATATTGTATACCAGCCCTCTGTTGGATGTGAGGTGGGTGAATGTACTGAATGAAGATATTTTTCCATTCTGTATGCTGCTATTTTGTTTTATTAACAGTGTCATTTGTTTTACTGTTCAGTTTCAGGAGGTCCCATTTATCTATTATTGGTTTTAGTGTCTATATGGCTAATTTTATATTCAGGAATTAAGTTTTTCATGTGCCAGTGGATTCAACATTATTTCTCACTTTCTTTTCTATCAGGTTTAATATAACTGGACTTATGTTGAGCTCTTTGATCCACTTGGACTTGAGTTTTGTGCAGAGAGATAGCTATGGATATATTTACTTTCTTCTATTTGCTGACATCCATTTATAGCAGCATCATTTGTTGAAGATGATTTCTTTTTTTCCAT